TAGGCATGTAGTTCAAAAGAATATGTGTGTTCATAGACATTAAACCCTGTCTTAAAATGAAATTAATATGTGTAAATGAAACACTTTAGGACATCAGAAAAAACATGTTTTAATGAAGTAGTATTGGCAGAAGAGAATATTTGTAGCTCATGTCCTTCCTGTTCTCTGCAAGAAAACCAGAGAGCACCAAGAACCCATAGTACTATTCTCATTGTATCTCACTGTATCAAGCACAATTTACTCAATGGTTCAAAATGTTTTTGTTGGCTAAGCTGAAATCTAAGATCTATGGAAATGTTTAGATGTTTAGGATAATTTTCCATTGTTTAGAAAAATGGAGCTCTCTAAATCCTTGTTCTGCTTAGTTTTTAAATTGTTTATGTCAAATTGATTTAACAATTACAAATATTGATAAAGACTAATTATGATGGCTTTTATTCTATATTAATTTTATTTGATACTATAGTGTTATCTATTCGATACAGTGATCGTCTCTAATAACTTATGCATCTTTGGTGCTCAGAATGTCACTAATACAGATTGAGATGTGACTAGATGTTGTACATTTCCAATGGGTAGGAATAGACAGATGGTATCTACCCTGAGTTGTGGTGGCACAGTGGTTAGAATGCAGTATTGCAGGCAAACTTTGCCAACAGTTTGATTCTGACCACCTCAAGGTTGACAGCCTTCCATGCTTCCAAGGTTGGTAAATGAGGACCCAGATTGTTGGGGCAATACGCTGACTCTGTAAACTGCTTAGAGAAGTCTGTAAAAGCACTGTGAAGCAGTATATATGTCTAAGTGCTATTGCTATTGCTATCCTTTAACCTGGGAAATGATTAAAAAAAAATCATTACCATCCAATAATTCCTTACATTTTCTTCCTTGTAATGTATTGTTTTATATCGTTGTGTTGCCCAGAATTATGTACTTAAGACGAGCAGCCATATACATTTTCTAAATAAATAAATAGATCTAAAGTAAAAATAAATGTCCTCAGATTGCTGCTTAATGCCTCCTTTCAGAGTATTTTTATTCTCTTGAGAAAGCCTAGGTTGGAAGAATATTTGATGGGATGATGTAAAGGATTTATCATTTTAGTCTTCCTTGGTCACTTTCCCTTCAATATTGTGTCCAGTTCTGATGAACACAAGATATTAAGAAACTGAATCATGTTCAGAGGAGGTCTATCAAGATGTTGAAGGGATTGGAATCCAAGTCCTATAAGAAAGTTACAACATTTAGGTATGTTCAACAAAGGTATACTATCAGTTTTTAAATACCTAAAATAGTATCACAGAGAAGTAGGAGTGAAATTATTCTCTGTAATCTTGGGGGACAAGACGAGAAACAATAGGTCAAAAGTACAGATTTCAGCTTAGATAAATTATTGCCGATTGTAATTTTCAGGGGTAACCGGCAGGAACGGATGTTTATGCAAGTAGTATGTTCTCCTCCATTAGAGCTCTTTATAAAGAGGCTGAATAACCCCAGTCGGAGGTATTTTAGCAAATCCTTTCCAAATTTATGAATCTAACTCAAATGTAAAACATATATTTGCTCAAGTTTTCTAATAATGAATATAGGATAGTGAGAATACATACTTTTGTCCAACAGACTTCAGCGTCCTTGCAAATGAAGAACTGCATGGATCATTTGGGGTGCGCCTTTATTTATTTATTTATTTTTATTTGTCAATTGCTTACAAGATAATAGGTATAACTAAAAACATAGTTATGAATACATAATAAAAGAAACAATAGGACAGGGTAGGCAAAGCAATAGACAAGGCAATAGATGAGGCAATTGTAGGGCAAAGCAATTGACGCAATCCACATAGACTTCTGTAAAGCCTTTGAATCAGTGGTACAAGACAAACTACTCCTAAAATTAAAATCTTACGGTATCTCTGAACACCTGCATAACTGGATAGAAGCGTTCCTGTCAAACAGACAACAAATGGTCAAAATTGGGAGCGTCCTATCAAGTAGAATATCACTTGTTTCTGGGCAGCCCATCTGAAAGAACAGGTTTCAGTACAGGTTGCAAAATGGAGTTTAAAGCCTCGGCAAGGTCTGAATCCTGTGACTTATGTTTCTTCCTGTGTGGAAATCATACAGGTAGTCCTCTACTTATAACTATTTGTAAATTCAAAGTTACAACAGCATTGAAAAAAGCAGCCTACAAGCCCTCATCCCCTCAATTGTCACAGCATCCCGATGATCATGGGGTCAAAATCCAGCCACTTGGCAACCAGCATTTATTTTCAATGGTTGCAGCATCCCAGAGTCATGTGATTGCTAGTTGCGACAACCAAAGTCAATGGGGGAAGTCAAATTACAGTAGAATAGTATAACAGAGTTGGAAGGGACCTTGGAGGTCTTCTAGACCAACCCCCTGCTCAGGCAGGAAACCCTGGACCATTTCAGAGAAATGGTTGCCCAATCTTTTCTTAAAAACGTCCAGTGTTGGAGCATTTCCACTGATTAATTGTTCTAAGGAAATTTCTCCTTAGTTCTAAGTTGCTTCTCTCCTTGATTAGTTTCCACCAGAGGTGGTATTCACCAGGTTCTGACCAGTTCTGGAAAACCGGTCGCAGAAATTTTCAGTAGTTCAGAGAACCGGCAAATCCCACCTCTGACTGGAGATTTTACAGTATCCTTCCGCTGCCACACCCACCCAAGCCACGCCCACAGAACCGGTAGTAAAAAAAATTGAATCCCACCACTGGTTCCCACCCATTGCTTCTTGTCCTGCTCTCAAGTGTTTTGAAGAATAGCTTGACTCCCTCTTAATTGTGGCAGCCCCTGAGATATAGGAATACTGCTATCATGTCACCCCAAGTCCTTCTTTTAAACTAGACCAGGGGTTCTCAACCTGGGGCGCTCGCACCCACTGGGGGTGCGAGACGATATTCCATGGGGTGCGAGAAAAGTCCAGGTAAATAATAGGATATTGGCTATATGTTGGCATTTTTATTTATTATGCAATGGATTAACTTTGTTTTCATTTTAGAGTTAAGTATCGTTATTTAGTGGCCGTCACATACATAGCTGAAAAGATTCAATCCTACCATATATTCAACGCGTTCAGTAGTTCCTAAAGTCTAAATTTCAGGGGGTGCAAGGTTCGAGTGAAATTGCTTTAGGGCTGCAGGGCGAAAAAAAGGTTGGGAACCACTGAACTAGACATACCCACTTCCAGCAACCGTTCTTTATATGTTTTAGCCTCCAGTCCCCTAATCATCTTTGTTGCTCTTCTCTGCACTCTTTCTAGAGTCTCAACATCTTTTTTGCATTGTGGCGACCAAAACTGGATTCAGATTCACTTAAGTGATTCGCTTAACTGTTGGTTGTAAAACTGGACACAACTCATTTTAGCTTAGCAATCTTGCTAAGCAATAGAAATTCTGGTCCCAACTGACAAGGATTACCTGTCATTCATTCCTGGCTTTTAGATTGTGAAAAATTTCTTTTAAACTTTAGCATCTACCAAGAAGAATCTTAATGTCCTTCTAAAATATCTTTCTTCACTTCCCAGGCTTGAATGTTTTTCTTCTTCAGGTAGATCTGCCCTAAAAAGACAGATCCACTCTTTAATCGCCCTGAATCTGCTGCCCTAAAACAGAGCTGGCTGTCAATCTTCAAGACAGCCTGTTCATGATACCAGTGAAACAAACTGCCAGCTTTGCCTGCAAGATTTCGCAAAGAAATTTATTTCTTCTGCATATTCTTTCAGGTAGAGGACATTAAATGGCCTTCAAGTAAGGAAAGCACCTACAGTGCTTCTAACATCAAGACAATCAAAAGCCATTCCGTCTTTTCCCCTTAACAGATTTGCTTAATCATGAAAAAGCCACATTTGGCTTCATTCAGATCACTGGACTGATGGATCATGGCTGCCTTACAGAGCCAGTTTGGCCTACTGGTTAAGGCACCCGGCTGGAAATGGGGAGACTGGAAGTGCTGATCCTTCCTTAGGCATGAAAGCCAACTGGGTGACTTCGGGCCAGTCTCTCCCTCTCTCGCTCTCCCTCCCCCTTTCCTCTCCCTCCCTCTCTCTCTCTCTCTCTCAGCCTAATCTAACTCACAGGCTTGTTGTTGAGGGAAAAATAGAATTCAATATTGAGTTTTCCACACTGATAAGGTAAGCCTGGCCTTGCTCTGATGGAAGTTCAAAGGCTGCCTTCTTTTCACCTTTCCCAATTTCATTCCCTCCAAAGCATCTCGGGACTGCATTGCTGTCACCGCCCCAGCTCACAATTGATCAGGCCTGTTCGTAAGTTAAGTACGTCCTCCCAGCCATTGGCAGAATGCGAGACCGTCGGCTTCTTGCATACAAGCAAAGCTGCGGAAACCTACATGAACCAAGGAGGAATCGCTGGGTAGGCGGCTCCTTATAAGGCCAAGGCGCTCGCCCGCTTGAGCCGCTCGCCCCGTCCGTCTCTCCAGGTGGGAGCAACCAAGCGGCGCAATCCCACCCCTCGGCCGGCAGAGGGAGCTGCTGTTACCTGCAGTCAAGCGGCTTCGCCAAGGGAGAAAATCTCGGACTTGGAGCCTTCGGTGTGTCCGCCTCTCCAGTCCGCCCGTAGCCCCGAGTTGCTTCCTCGCGGCTCCCCGAAGCGACGGGAGAGAGTTATGGGCCCGGGCTGAGAGTGAATGGGGAGAGACGGCGGGCAGCGGAAAGCCGTGACCCCCCCCCCACCCATCCACCCCGGAGCATGTCCTTCTGGGCTTCTCCAATCCTTCAGGGTCCACCTTGGAGCGACGGAGCCCCCCGCCGCATCCCTGACTTACCTCGTTTGTCCGCCGGTAGGCGCGTCCAAGCAGACCGAGCGTGTCTTGAAGAGGCGGCGCGGGGGGGGGGGGTTGGGGCGGGGGGGGGGGGGGGGGGGGCGGCAGAAAGCCCCGCAGAAGCTTACGAGGAGGCTCTTTGCATTCCCGCCCGCTTTCTCCGCGCTGGTTCCCCCCGCCACCAGCCCAGCCCAGCCCAGCCCTCCCGGCCATGCGCCAGGCTGGACTCTGCCACCCAGCCGAAATCTAAAAGCAGAAGGGGACCCATCGCCGAACCTCGGTTGCTAAGGTAATCGCAGTTGCCCTGCAACGGCATGCCTCGATATTGCCTAGTCTCCTTCTCCCTCTCTCCCTCTCCCTGCCTCCCTCTCTCCCTCCCTCTCTACCCCCCACCTTTTGCGCTTTTCTTCCCCCTTTCTGGAGAGACCCCCACGAGACGGTTCGGCCTGTCTTCCCCGCCGTCGTTCCCGGGGGGGTGCAAATTCCTTTGGGAAAAGATGGGCAAGAAGAAGTCGAATAATAATAATAATAATAATGATGATGATGATGATGATGATGATGATGATTGATGATAAATTAAAAAAGAGTGGTCCGCCACGGGCCCCTGCGCCACCTTCCCGTTTTGCCCTATTCATAGGAATCCTAAAGCGGGAAGGCAAAGTGCCTACCTGGCTTGGCGGGGGTGTGGGGTGTGTGTGGGGGGGCTGGTTGCAGCCGAAACGGCGGAGAGAGTTTGTTCCCGGGTCTGGGGTGGGTGGTGGTGGGGGAGAAACGCCTTCCGGGCTTGCCGGGCAAACCGGGCGCTGCGAGGCGGAGGGTGACGGCGAGCTCCGTAGGACAATCGCTAAGCAACCGGTCGGGCGAAGGGGCAAGAGCAACGTTGCCGGGTGGCGGCGGAGTTGCGATCCTCCCTCGTTGCCGTTGCCAGTCGTGCGGTTGATTAAAAAAAAGGGAAAAGAAAAAAAAAGAGTTGGAACGGGTCGAAGTTGACGGCCGAGGGTCGTTCGCAGGGAGGACGTTACTGCGGGGTTTAGTCCATGGCTTTCGAAATCGGGGTGGGCAGTGGAAGACCCAGGTCACCTTTTTTTGTGTGTGTAGAGCCGGAGAACTAACTGGCTTGGTTTTAAAACTAGCTTCGCAAGTCAGAAGGAGAGAACACGACGAGAAGCAATTGGGAATTGGCTTGGTGGCCCATTGGGGTTTTCTGTAGCCAAGCGGGGAACAGGGCTGAGGGCAGTGATCAGCATCTTAGGCAACCGGCTGCTTGATGGGGCCAGGAAACAAAAGGAAATAGATGCAAAGCTAATAATCTCTCTTACTCAGACTACACTAAGAAACACACTTCCAACCGTGTCCCTCTAAAACCGACGCTTCTGCTACAATATTTCACAGTAATAATGTTTTCAGGAGTGTCTTCTAAGAAGGGCTTGGCAATGAATGCATTATGTTGTGCAGAGTTTCAACAAGCAGTCAAAAAGGAGAAAAATGTGGGTATAAAAATAGGATTCATATTTGTTTAAATGCAAGCCACGGGGGATTAAGTTGCCTCTTATTTAGCTGTATAGCACTGTGCTCCCAAAGGGTTGGAAAAGAAGCTTGAATAGATAAGGTTTTGTTCATTTCCTTGTGTGTATATCTACAACTAGATGCGAAGAAAGTGTTCTTTCTTGTAGTAAATGTGTGATTAGCTCATGAAAGCTTCCCTCGGTCCATAAAAGCAGGTTCAGAGCAATTTCAAATACCTCACATCTCTGAACTATGGGAGATGTGTTAAAATGTTAAAAGAGTAGGAACTGGGGTTGGAAAGGGAAGAACAAGTTGTTTTAATTGTTGCTTTAGACAGTTGAACAGGTTCCTTATTGGAATTTTGTTACAGTCCTTCTGGGAAGCTCACTTTTAATAATAGCTACATTGATTCTTCCTAAACTCATTTATTCAGAAGAAGCCCTTGTCGCTTATCAAGGTGACACCAAGCCCCAGCTATGACTGACAGGTGGAGTTGTTTTCCTTTCTTGAATAAAATGCAAAAAGGGGAAGGGTTAGTTGCAGGTTTATTGATGAGCCACAAATACATGGTTGTTGTATAGATCATCTTCAGTCTGATTAATGCCATCTGAAGTTAAACAAGGGTAATTGAAATCTCTGTTTCCAATTTATTTATCACACAAGTGTTGCTTGGATTGCAGCTTCAGTGTTTTCTTTGCATTTTTTTTCCATCTCCACTCTAGAAGGAAAAGAAGTATATGAATCAATCACCTTGCTTGCCAGGTTTTGCTTGGTTTTGTTTCGATGAGTCTTGTTTTTAGGGTTGTTTTTAATTTTAATTTACCCCCCACCAGTCATTGTAAGTTGAGCAGCCATTTAGGTTGAAGGAACAAATAAGAAAGTAATCATACTTATTGTCAAGGGGTTACAACCTTCTTCCTGAAGTTGAATTTCTCTCAGAATCCTGAGAACTGGGGAAATAGTTGATCTAATTTACAGGGAATTGATGGGTGAGATGAAGCAGAATAGTTGAGGAGAATTGTCTCTGCTTCTTAACAGTCTTGTTACAAAGACTGGGAAATACTGGTTTCAGTGTATAAGAGATGGGGAGAGCTGAAACAAAAAGGGCTCAATTGGGAGGAATCCTAAGGACCTAAGAGCCTCCCTTCAGTGGTTTTCTATTCACCTGCTTCCCTTTACCTCTTGAGCTCAATAGGTCAGCGTAATATTTGAACCCCTCCACCCAGCAATTTCTATAGAACGTTGAGTTAATTTTTTTTGAATTACTTTCATTCAAATCAACTTTTCTTTAAAAAGTTGCTTTTCTTCCATGTAAAAATATAACAAGTGTGCAGCGGTAATGTGAACACAGAAAAAGAGAAACATTCGAAAGTCCTCCTTTTGTCTCTTCTGGAACAACCCAGCAAGTGTTGGATGGACCTCTCTGCTGATTGCAATGCAAAAACCTGATCTCTGGCTGGACTCTTTGGATGGATGAGACTTATATTTATTTATTATGGCTTTGATGTGGAAAGCTTTTTATATAAGTGCAAGCAATTTCATGCTGGGTACCTCTGTTTTGGGTTTTTCTGATTTTGCCAACCATGCCTTTTTCCTTTGACAAACTGTTCTGGGAGCAGCAGGAAGTAGCATCCTTGATGGAGTAGATGATACATTATTCTAATTTGACGGGCATGTTAAAGTAACTCTTGGCCCATTATTATGTTGCGGCTGAGAATAAAATCACCAACACAAGACGTATGTACACAGCGAGGAATATAGGTTAATAATGTTCCATAGAGACACTATGCCTACAAACATTTAACTCTGATTTATTTGTTTATTTAGTGCAAGGGTCTTCAAACTTGGCAAGTTTAAGACTTCAACTCCCAGAACTCCTGAGCTAACATGACTGGAGGAGGAATTCTGGGAGTGGAAGTCCACAAGTCTTAAAGCTGTCAAGTTTGAAGACCCCTGATTTAGTGTATGGCAGAAATGTTGAAAGGCACACCACAATTACATTCTCAGTGAGCAAATACAAAAACGATTTAACCCTGAATTTAAAATAAATGCTATTGTATGTCTGTTTTATTTAGATCTAGGCTTTCTTCTAGTTTCAGAAGCTCAAGGCAGATGGAATTTCCCCCTCAATTTTATCTTCACAACACTCCTGTGAGACAGACTTGATTAAGAAATTGTTTGAAGTGTAGTATTTATTTATTAAATTTATATCCCATCAATCTCAGTCTATAAAGTAACTCTATAATAGTCGAAAAGCAGTAGAGTTCCATGGTTAAATGGGGGAATTGAACCACTGTCTTCCAGGTCTTATTTTGACATCTAACTATTACATGCCCAGAATGGAATGGGGGCACTGTCATTTCAGACAGAAAACCAAGAAGAAGTAAGAATTGGAGCATAATAGACTTGATTAAAGAAGACTGCTGGTCTCTTCATCTTCACAAGTGGTCCACATTTGGTAGAAGCACAATAATATATGGATGGTTACATCTTGCCCATCCTTGATTGAAATGTTTTGTACTTCACAAGCTTTCCAAATCAGGCATGGATAGTTGGAAACCTACTCAATATTAAAATCGAGCTTCCAACAAATCACATTTTTTAAAACATTGCCTGTTCCTAAGAAGTGCAATTTGCAACAGTACAGTCCTACTTTGGTACTCAACTGCTTTGAAACTCATTGAATTTGGTACTCGACGCATTTTGATGAGAAAACTTTGTTCTGGTCCTCATCCTTTGTTTGGTACTCAATGCACAAGGTAGGATTTGGTGTTGGTTGCCTCACGACTTGTTATCCTTCCCAATTGAGACAAAGGATCAGGTGTTAGCCATGTGGTAGGTCTTGCCCTGTGCATATCCCCTTGCGGTTTTGTCTTAGCTTCTGTGGCCATTTTGTGTATTTTTGGGCTCCCCATCAGCGCAGGCAAAGTGAAGATTTACTTTATTTAATCTAAGGATTTATTAATGTTTAGGTTTATTTCTCATGTAAAGTAATGATATACAACCCTAATTTTTTTTAGTATTGCTTTAAAAATGTGCATTGCCTTTGCTTTGGGAATACATTACGTTTATTTACATTATTCCTTATGGGAGAAATTTCTTCGGTACTTGTTGTTTTTGGTACTTGTCCCTCCCACCAGCCAATTAATGATGAGTACTGAGGTACCACTATGTCAGAGGTGGTATTCAGCAGGTTCTGACCAGTTCTGGAGAACCAGTAGTGGAAATTTTGAGTAGTTTGGAGAACTGGCCAATACCACCTCTGACTGGGGATTTTACAGTATCCTTCCCCTGCTACGCCCACCAAGCCACGCCCACAGAATCGGTAGTAAAAAAATTTGAATCCCACCACTGCACTTGTAGAAAACATTGTCCTATCATCCGATATCTTAATTCTGCATTTCTTTTAGAAGCATTGGGATTGGTGAGCAGCTGGAGTGATAGAACTATAGCCTTTCTCTCAGTGTTTTGTTTTTATGGAAAACCTAGGTGAGGTTTAGATATTTATCAGTTTGCCAGAAAATTGCTTTTAAATAATATCATCATCCAAAGCAAGTCCCAAATTTCAGGTGCAGATTGCTTTATTTTGGAAAATAACTTGGAAAAAAATGTAATGTCTTCAAACCAGCCTTCTTCCAATTGCTATGTTGTGTTCCAAAGTATCACGCAGCACACCTGGATCATTTAAGTCTTGCCTGTGAAGGCATTCAGGCTTTTCAAAGTGACCCAATGTGGTTGAATTTTGAAAAAAGGCTGAGAAGAGAATGAGGGGGATGGCTAGGT